GCCAAGATAGAAGAAGTGGGCTTACGTTATGAACAGATCATTGTAGAAAGCTAAGAATCTTCCTGTTGGGAGGAAGAAAAATGCTTTTTTTATTCCACTTACACAGAGAGAGAACTTGCAGGCTTGATTTTACAACTTTAACTGTGCGTCAGTTTTGCAGAACAAAAACTCTCTGGTTAGTTACAGGAGCTCCATAAACAGGGAGGTGAGAGGTCCAGAGCCCGGAAAGGCTGCTGTCTGCTTCCACACCCACCCGTTCATTTCTGGAGTGACTTTATCTCATAGGGACAAGAAAACAAGATAAACCACATAGAAGGTTCCATTCATGATCAAGAAGACTGACGATGTATCAACACATGGTATAGGGCTGTAACCCAGCAGGATCGTACGGGACCCGCCTGGAGTAGACCCCTCCTCCACGTCCGCTGCCTGCCTCTTGTCTGTAGAAAACACTTAGCTTCCTAGGCCATCCCAGAGTCCCAAAGAATACATTCAATAGAGAAGTGAGAAAACGCAGAAGCAAAGGAAAACATTCAAACAAGACAAGTTAATAAGAGTTAAGCCACTAAACGGGATTTCCCAGTGGCTCAGCGATAAAGAATCTGCTGCATTGCAGGAGCCGCAGGAGACCCAAGTTTGATCCCTGGGTCAGGAAGAGCCCCCGGAGGAGGGCATGGCAACCCACTCCTGGAATAGAGGATTCTTGCCTGGAGAATTCCACGGACAGAGGAACCTGGCGGATTACAGTCCATAGGTTGCAAAAAGTCAGACACAACTGAAGCGACTATGCACCCGGGCATGCAAGTCATTAAGCAAAGTCAAGAACTTTTTCTTCCTCCTCAGGAGCTATAGATAATATTCTGAGCCACATCATTTGAGCTGTCGGGCATGTGAAAATCCCACCAGTGGGAAGCAATTGATTGTCTGCTGCCCACAAGCACGTTGCAACTAGAAGATTGATGATGCTGGTGGCTGATGACCTCACCACCAGCCAATCAGAAGGATGTCCACGCACTGATCACACCCCCCACAACCCCCTTTCCTCACTCCGTCTTTAAAAACCTTCCCCTGAAAACCTTCAGAGAGTTCAGGCCTTTTAAGCACAAGCTGCCTGACGCCATGCTTGGCACCCGCAATAAAAGCTGTACTTTTCTTCACCACGACCTCCTGTCAGTTGAATGACTTTACCGCACACAGGTAAGTAGACCCAAGTTTGGTTCAATAACAGGACAAGACACGGGAATCCTCCCAAGCCCACCGCGGTGACTGACCATCAGCCCAGTCACCCAACCGCATGGGACCTGGTGACGGAGTGGCAGGTGTCACAATGTCAGAACACGGCAGAACCCTCAAAGCAAACAGACAAACAGAAGTAAAAACATAACAAGATAACCAGACCGCCTGTCACTGCCACCCAGTAGACAGCCAGGCAGGGCATGGGCACCAGCTTCCCAACACCGGAATTCAGCAGCCAGGTACCAGTCAACACCCCCAAAAACACACTCGTGCACGCGCGCACGCACAGAGCCCACAAGATGTGCTTCTGAAGCCTTGCATTGTCAGCGCCCAGAGGGGAATTCTTGGGCTTCTCCGTGGAAGCTCCAACGATTTTAAAATACCCAAGAAATTGTTTATGTCCAAAGAAGTCTGCAGACTCAAGGGAGTCCAGACTTATGAAAGATGGCTCACCAAATAAAAACCGCAACAGATGTTTAAAAGAAAAACCAAGACCCAGGATTACCAAGCATGCTGGGTTCCCCTTTGGTAACGGAAGCATCGCAATTTCCTTCCACGGTTATCAGGTCTGCAAAGGTTGTCACATACTTTCCTGTCCAAAGTCAAGAGCAGCAGCAATTTATGTGAAAGACTCCATTTCATTTACTCGGGAGATTAGGAGTACACGGGTGGCTCTTTCTGTTGTCATGGTTGTTTGATTGTGTTTCATCTCAGGGGCGAGCCACCACAATTCCCTGCCCTGACAGTGAGCTGGGATGAGCACGCTTCCTCCAGCTGGAGGCAGGCGAGTTGTCAGCTTTGATTTCCCAGAGTCGAGCAAAATAACCAGCCCTGGAAGCTGAAAGATGCTGTGCATGGGGAAGTCGTGGTTTATTTAACAAATATCCGCTGTCTCCTAAACGCCAGGCACAGTTCTTGGGCCTGGGGATGTGGCAGGGAGAAAAATCATTCCACCACTGTCCCTGGGGAGCTCATGTACCTGTGTGGGAGGCAGACCTTAAACTAGGGGCTGTGATATGCTATCGGGAAGGAGTGAGCTCCAGGAAGGGGGAATGTAGCTCACAGAAGGGAGGGTGGGGTAGGGACTGTGTTCTGCACCTTTAGTTTTTTATAATATAGACTTTTGTTTCGGCTGCCCCGGGTCTCAGTTTTTGCGTGTGGGATCTTTGGGCTTCCCAGGTGGCACACAGTTCAGTTCAGTTCAGTTCAGTCACTCGGTCGTGTCCGACTCTTTGCGACCCCACGGACTGCCGCACGCCAGGCTTCCCTGTCCATCACCAACTCCCGGAGCTTGCTCAAACTCATGTCCATTGAGTCGGTGGTGCCATCCAACCATCTCATCCTCTGTTGTCCCCTTCTCCTCCCGCTTTCAATCTTTCCCAGCATCAGGGTATTTTCCAATGAGTCAGTTCTTCGCATCAGGTGGTCAAAGTATTGGAGTTTCAGCTTCAGCAACAGTCCTTCCAATGAATATCAGGACTGATTTCCTTTAGGATGGACTGGTTTGATCTCCTTGCAGCCCAAGGGACTCTCAAGAGTCTTCTCCAAGACCACAGTTCAAAAGCATCAATTCTTCAGCGCTCAGCTTTCTTTATAGTCCAACTCTCACATCCATACATGACTACTGGAAAAACTATAGCTTTAACTAGAGGGACCTTTTTTGGCAAAGTAATGTCTTTGCTTTTTAATATGCTGTCTGGGTTGGTCATACTGGAGAAGGGAATAGCAAACCACTTCAGTATTCTTGCCTTAAGAGCCCCATGAACAGTATGAAAAGGCAGATAGCATTAGTGGTAAAGAATCCGCCTGCAATACAGGAGATGAAGGAGACACGGGTTTGATCCCTGGGTCAGGAAGTTCCCCTGGAGGAGGGCATGGCAACCCACTCCATTATTCTTGCCTAGAGAATCCCCATGGACAGAGGAGCCTGGCGGGCTACAGTCCATGCAGTCGCAAAGAGTCAGACATGACTGAAGTGACTGAGCAGGCAAACAGGATCTTTAGTTGCTGCAGGTGGGATTGAGCTCCTGAATCGGGGATTGAACCTGGGCCCACTGTATTGGGAGCTCAGAGTCTTAACCCCTGGACCACCAGGGACATCCTGGGGACTGTTTTAGATGGAGAGGATTTCACTTTCATGGATTTCTCAGGCAGCTTTGCATAGTACAGTCAAGGATTCTTGATGCAGGGCTTGACGGTGCGGTAACAAACTCAGAAACTCCTGGTCACCTCCCGGACTGCAGGAGTTGACAGTCCATCACCATTAAGTGTGGGGAAATTGGGTCCCAGAAGACATAAGGACTGAGCCCTCCCCCACTGGGGGAGCTGACCACAGAGGCTGAATGGGGTCGCCCAGCCCAGGCCCACTGGAGACCTGGGTCTCGCTGTTCCTGGGGGTCCCTCCGTGGGCTGGGGGAATCCCTCCCCCTCCCCTTCCCCTCCCCCTTGGGGAGTGGATAGAGCTAAATTCCCACTTAACAGCGGGCTGCTTCTGGGCCTCATTACCATGATGCAAATTAATATTTATTATGCAATTATGCATCTTTATAATTGCTAGTATTTCAAAGGGAGCACGGAAGCCTTAATTAGACGACTTTGAATATTATTCAAGTGGAATGTCACAAGGAGCTGTGCTCCTGTCCCCGTTGGTGTCACGCTGCCATCTCCCGAAGGTTCTCAGAACCCGGGGCCACACACGCTCCGCCTCCCCGCCTGGAAGCTGACTTGGTGTTTTGGGCCAGGTTTTGTATCCTGACTTCTGGCAACCTTCTGGGGACATCTGAAGCCCCAAACAAGACTCAAGGGACTTGTGTTCGTGCAGGGCCCACTTAAGACAGGCGCCGAGAGTCCTGGGGCAGAGTCACAGGACCAACCCCACCTCTGAGCCCTCACCCCTGCTGGTCCCGGGGTCTCCTTCCTTCCCTCCTCCCCTTCCGCTATGCAGCGAACATTTCTCAAGCCTCATCAAAGTGCCTCTTGCCCTCTTCGGTCCGCAGGACATTTTCAAATATTGGACTTCTGGGTGACGACCTAAGAGGATCATGGGGTGGAAACCCGTTTTTAAAAAGCCAGGTTTGGGAATCTGAGACAGCCCGCCCAACGGCCACTGAGCCCCCCGCCCACCTGCAGTCTTGTCACAGTGGGCGTCCAAGCAGACCACGACCATGGCCCTGGCCGTGCTTCTGACATCAGTGGGAGAGGAGAAGCTTGCAGACCAGTCAGGAAACAGAGGCAGGGGTCAAGGAAGATGGTGGTCCCTGAGCAATGAGTCTTCAGGGTCAGAGGACCAGGGAGGAGGGATGAAGGGAAGGGGGTGGGGGAGGAGGGAGCAGGAGGAGGGAGTGAGGAAGGTTGCACATGGTGCCCGGGTGCCCGGCTGGGGTGTCTGAAGCGGCAACACGGGGACAGGCGGCAAGCTCAGCTCCGAAAACACAGAGGGGCCCATGGGCCTCCACATGGGGAGGCTGGGTGATGGATGTGGGTCACGGGAGGGTCCCAGCCACATGCCAGACTACAGAGTCAGTATGGCAGCGATGCTGGGAGGCCTGGGAGGGAGCCAGGGGAGCCCACAGAGAGGAAGGGGAGAGCCGGCCACACCTCAACAACAGAATGAAGGAAGCTTCCAGCCAGGAGAGGAGCTCAGATGCAAATGCAGAAAGCAGGGGATTACACTGGAATCTGGTCCCCCAAAACAAGGGTGTCTTCTAATCCCCAAGGCCTGTGAACGGACTCTGTGTGGAAGTAGGGTCTTTGCAGGGGATCAGGCGAAGATGAGGTCAGTAGCTTGGGCCCTGCGTCCTGACAAAAGCGGGGATCTGGACACAGAGCGGACACAGGGGGATGACAACGTGAAGGCCAGGGAGGAGCTGACCCCTGACAAGTCACGGAACCCTGAGCCACCAGAAACAGGAAGAGGCCAGAGCAGACTGGCCTTCTCCAACCTCAGAAGGACCAGCCTTCAGACAGCTGGCCTGGGCCGCTGGCCTCCAGGCTGTGCGACAACAGAGCCTGTTGTCAAGCGGCCCCAGGACACTAACAGTGGGGGATCAGGTGTGATGCTGAGCGGCTGGATGGTGGAGGAGGGGGGTCGTGCCCACCTGCCACCAGGAGGCCACTCCGCACCTCTCCTGCAGGAAGAGTAGACAGCCTGGGGGTCACGGGGATTGCGTCAGCAGGGTGTGAAGAGGCACCCCATCCCAGGAGGACACCCCCAGCAGCATCCCCATGTGGCTTCCTACTGTATCTGCCCACAGCTCAGATAGCTCACATCCAAGGACCCCAGCCCAGGAAACCACTAAACAGGATGCAGTTCATTTATCCTGCGGCCCTCAAGCCAAGGGAGCACCGCCCCCACACCACACACACACACACACACACACACACACACACACACAGAAGCCTCCCCAGGGAGAAACTGGGCCCTGGGACCCCCTGAGAGGAAAGGGGTGTGGTCCTGGGCCGGCCAGGATCTGGGCTCCGGCGGAGCCAGGAGGCCACCCTGGCTTGAAACCAGGGTTCTCATAGCCAGCGGCTCTGGGACCGAAGCCAGCTGCCACCCACCCCATCCCTGGGCTCAGATGCTCTATCTGCAAAATGCGCATTCGAACCCTCACTCTGAGCCTTCCCCTCCCTATGGTCCAGGGGTTAAGACTTCACCTTCCAGTGCAGGGTGTGCGGGTTCAATCCCGTCAGCAAGCTAAGCTCCCACATGCCTCTAAGGCTAAAAAACCAAGACGTAAGACAGAAGCAACACTGCAACAAATACAATAAAGACTTTCAAAAAATGATCCACATCCAAAAAAAATAATCTTAAAAAGAAAACCCTTGCTCACCCTCCTGGATCCAGGAGGCCAGCTCCGCCGTCTCTCGGGGGGGCCCCAGGTCTGTAATGTCGGGATCGCCCGCCTTCCCCCATCCTGGAGAGACTCCCTGCGGGATCCAGGTAAGCCTGCCTCATTTCTCGAAATCAGCTGAGCTGCACTCACCTGGGCCAGTGACACCTGGAGCAGGGTGTTCCCAATGCCACCTTGTTAAAGACTCTCGAGGCCAGCCGGGGCCGCCCCAGCCCGGGGTTGCCCGCACACCTCAGTCACCTCCCTCTGCCCTCTATGCTGCCCTCTACACCTTTACATCCGATCTCAGCGCACGGCCAGAGGCACCCACCCATGCCCATCCTCCCAGAGCTCTCACAGGCATCGGCACCTCACGACTGGCAGGGCCCAGAGCATGACGTGTCCTTTGCTCCATCTCAGGGGCAGAGCCAGACAGCAGGAGCCTCTTCCGCAACTCGCCAGGCTCCCAGATCAGCCCCAGGCAGCCTGCCACTTCAAGACGCAGACTACCTGCCTGTTCATATGCATGTACGGTAATCTGCAAAGTCCGGCGATTCGCATGACAATCAGAGGAAATGAATCCCTTCTCTTAAAAGGCTTCCAAAAGCCAAGGCTCAGGTCCTGGTTCCTTGAGGGCCAGTAGGGGAGGTCTTAGGCAGCATGGGGGTAGGGGGAGGAGGAGGAGGGGGTGTTCTCTGTACCCCCAAGTGCCAGACAGATGGCCTGGCCCTCATCCTCAGTGCTTCACACAAAGGGAGGGGAGGTGCCCTGTGAGATGCTCACCTGCCTCTCTTCTAAGCTATTCGATCCCTGATCCTGGAAGATCCACATGTCCTGGAGCAGCTAAAGCCTGTGAGCCACAGCTACTGAGCCCACGTGCCTAGAGCCTGCGCTCCGCAACAAGAGAAACCACTGCAAAGAGAAGCCCATTCACCCCAATGAAGACCCAGCACAGACAAAAAAATGAACATATATCTAAAGAAAATCGGCCGCACTTCAGTTCAGTTCAGTCACTCAGTCGTGTCCGGCTCTTTGCGACCCCATGGACTACAGCAGGCCAGGCCTCCCTGCCCATCACCGACTCCCGGAGCTTACTCAAACTCATGTCCATCGATTCGGTGATATCATTCAACCATCTCATCCTCTGTCGTCCCCTTCTCCTTCTGCCTTCAATCTTTCCCAGCATCAGGGTCTTTTCAAACGAGTCAGTTCTTCGCATCAGGTGGCCAAAGTATTGGAGCTTCAGCTTCAGCATCAGTCCTTCCAATGAATATTTAGGACTGATTTCCTTTAGGATGAACTGGTTGGATCTCCTTGCAGTCCAAGGGACTCTCAAGAGTCTTCTCCAACACCACAGTTCAAAAGCATCTGTTCTTTGGCACTCAGCTTTTTAGTCCAACTCTCACATCCATACAGGACCACTGGAAAAGCCGTAGCTTTGACTATACGGACCTTTGTTGGCAAAGGAATGTCTCTGCTTTTTGTCAAGGTTTGTCATAGCTTTTCTTCCAAAGAGCAAGTGTCTTTTAATTTCAAGGCTGCAGTCACCATCTGCAGTGATTTTGAAGCCCCCCCAAAATAAAATCTGTCACTATTTCCACTGTTTCCCCATTTACTTGCCATAAAGTGATGGGACTGGATGCTACGACCTTAGTTTTCTGAATGTTGAGTTTTAAGCCACTTTTTCACTCTCCTCTTTCACTTTCATCAAGAGGCTCTTTAGTTCTTCACTTTCTGCCTTAAGGGTGGTGTCATCTGCATATCTGAGGTTATTGATATTTCTCCTGGCAATCTTGATCTCAGCTTGTGCTTCATCCAGCCCGGCATTTCACGTTGTACTCTGCATATAAGTTAAATAAGCAGGGTGACAATATACAGCCTTGACATACTCCTTTCCCAATTTGGAACCAATCTGTTCTTTACTGTCCAATTCTAACTATTGCTTCTTGACCTGCATACAGGTTTCTCAAGAGGCAGGTCAGGTGGTCTGGTATTCCCATCTCTTTCAGAATTTTCCACAGTTTATTGTGATCCACACAGTCAAAGGCTTTGGCATTGTCAATAAAACAGAAATAGATGTTTTTCTGGAACTCTTGTGCTTTTTCGATAAGCCAACGGATGTTGGCAATTTGATCTCTCGTTCCTCTGCCTTTTCTAAATCCAGCTTGAACATCTGAAAGTTCTTGGTTCACGTACTGTTGAAGCCTGGCTTGGAGGATTTTGAGCATTTCTTTGCTAGCGTATAAGACAAGTGTAATTGTGCGGTAATTTGAACATTCTTTGGCATCGCCTTTCTTTGGGATTGGAATGAAAACTCACCTTTTCCAGTCTTATGGTCACTGCTGAGTTTTCCAAATTTGCTGGCATATTAAGTGCAGCATTTTCACAGCATCATCTTTCAGGATTTGAAATAGCTCAACTGGAATCCCATCACCCCCACTAGCTTTGTTCATAGTGATGCTTCGTAAGGTCCACTTGACTTCACATTCCAGGACTTCTGGTTCTAGATGAGCGATCACACCATCGTGATTATCTGGGTCATGAAGATCTTTTTTGTATAGTTCTTCTGTGTACTCTTGCCACCTCTTCTAAATATCTTCTACTTCTATTAGATCCCTACCATTTCTGTCCTTTATTGAGCCCATCTTTGCATGAAATATTCCCTTGGTATCTCTAATTTTCCTGAAGAGATCTCTAGTCTTTCCCACTCTGTTGTTTTCATCTATTTCTTTGCATTGATCGCTGAGGAAGGCCTTCTTATCTCTCCTTGCTATTCTTTGGAACTCTGCATACAAATGAGTATATCGTTTCTCCTTTGCCTTTAGCTTCTCTTCTTTTCTCAGCTATTTGTAAGGCCTCCTCAGACAGCCATTTTGGTTTTTTTGCATTTCTTTTCCTTGGGGATGGTCTTGATCCCTGCCTCCTGTACAATGTCACCAACCTCTGTCCATAGTTCATCAGACATTCTGTTTGTCAGATCTAATCCCTTGACTCTATTTCTCACTTCCACTGTATAATCGTAAGGGATTTGATTTAGGTCATACCTGAATGGTCTAGTGGTTTTCCCTACTTTCTTCAATTTAATTCTGAATTTGGCAAAAAGGAGCTCATGATCTGAGCCACAGTCAGCTCCTGCTTTTGTTTTTGCTGACTGTATAGAGCTTCTCCATCTTTGGCTGCAAAGAATATAATCAATCTGATTTTGGTATTAACCATTTGATGATGTCTGTGTGTAGAGTCGTCTCTTGTGTTGTTGGAAGAGGGTGTTTGCTATGACCAGTGCGTTCTCTTGGCAATATTCTATTAGCCTTTGCCCTGCTTCATTCTGTACTCCAAGGCCAAATTTGCCTGTTACTCCAGGTATCTTTTGATGTCCTACTTTTGCACTCCAGTCCCCTATAATGAAAAGGACATCTTTTTGGGGTGTCAATTCTAGAAGGTCTTGTAGGTCTTCATAGAACCATTCAACTTCAGCTTCTTCATCATTACTGGTTGGGGCATAGACTTGGATTACTGTGATATTGAATGGTTTGCCTTGGAAATGAACAGAAATCATTCTGTCTTTTTTGAGATTGCACCCAAGCATCGAAAAAGCAAGAAAGTTCCAGAAAAACATCTATTTCTGCTTTATTGACTATGCCAAAGCTTTTGACTATGTGGATCACAATAAACTGTGGGAAATTCTGAAAGAAATAGGAATACCAGATCACCTGACCTGCCTCTTGAGAAACCTATATGCAGGTCAGGAAGCAAAGTTAGAACTGGACATGGAACAACACACTGTTTCCAAATAGGAAAAGGAGTATGTCAAGGCTGTATATTGTCACCCTGCTTATTAAACTTATATGCAAAGTACATCATGAGAAACGCTGGGCTGGAAGGAGCACAAGCTGGAATCAAGATTGCCAGGAGAAATATCAGTAAGCTCAGATATGCAGATGACACCACCCTTATGGCAGAAAGTGAAGAGGAACTAAAGAGCCTCTTGACAAAAGTGAAAGAGGAGATTGAAAAAGTTGGCTTAAAACTCAACATTCAGAAAACTAAGATCATGGCATCTGATCCCATCACTTCATGGCAAATGGATGGGGAAACAGTGGAAACAGTGAGAGATTTTATTTCCTTGGGGTCAAAAATCACTGAAGATGGCAACTACAGCCACAAAATTAAAAGACACTTGCTCCTTGGAAGGAAAGCTATGACAAACCTAGACAGCATGTTAAAAAGCAGAGACATTACTTTGTCAACAAAGGTTGATCTTGTCAAGACTATGGTTTTTCCAGTAGTCATGTATGGATGTGAGAGTTGGA